AAACCTGGCTTAGTTGGGCACGACCATTTCTCCTAGTGCCAAATGTCTTGTGCAGAGCTGCATTCTAGGCGCCGGAGGATGGAGAACGCTGGACATCAGCGAAGACTCTTTTGTCCCTAGAACGTCACAGGAATCAGTGCTCTCCACTCCTCCATGACCACTACAGCAGCTGCTCAGGATACAGCCTGGTTCAGGATTATGGAACCTTGGGATGATCTCGTCGCGGTTCTTGGTTCGTATCAGTGGCACTGCATAGTCTCTGGGGGCATCACGATGAGTATCCCCAGGTGGAAATAGAGAATAAAGAGAATAATTAGCATATCTGCTGTTTATAAACGAGATAAATAGCGTTTATAAACGAGATGCAGAAACCTGTGTGGAGCACATTTAGTATCATACCGCTAACTGATGCACTGAGTGAATGCTTTGCTAAAAATATAGGTCTTTAATCTAGTTTTGAACTGTGAGAGTGTGTCTGAGCCTCGGACATGATCAGGAAGGCTATTCCAGTGTTAGGAGCCATACATGAGAAGGCTTGACCTCCTTTACTCGACTTTGCTATTCTAGGTACTTCCAGAAGCCCTGAGTTTTGAGATCTTATAGAGCGGGTTGGATTGTAGCGAGATTATTTAAGAGCTTTATAGATTATTTAAAGCTTTATAGGTAAGAAGCAATATTTTAAAATTAATACGAAACTTAGCAGGCAGCCAGTGTAAGGAGGATAAAATTGATGTGATATGATCATATTTTCTAGACCTGGTAAGAACTCTGGCAGCCGCATTTTGTACTAGCTAAAGTTTGTATTTACGGTAATATTTTTTGTCTGACCTCAGATAAACCTAATAAAGCAAAAAAAAAATAAATAAAAAATAAATAAAAATAAAAATACAGCAGGAAAAATAAGTATTGTTTTTTTTTCCTGGGAATAATATTTCTAAAGGGGCTGTTGACATGGAATTGGACCAGATTTTGGTAAAACACAAACAATACAAGCATAAAAATAAGACAAAACAAAAGAATCATGTGTAATATATGTATAATCATGTGTAAAATGACACAAGGAGAAAGTGCTGAACTGCTGAAACCTATTTAATACTTTATTTAAAAGGCTTTTTTTGGGAATGGCAGCTTAAAGATGTCTCTCATATGGAGAATGAAGTCATGCATTGCTCAGGTGTGTTTTTTTCACAGAAGATCTTAATGGTTCTTTGTGTCTCGTCTATCAAATCTAAACTTTATTTTGTATTTTCTATTTGATTCAAGTCAGGTGATTGGCCGGGCCATTCTGCAGCTTGATTTTCTTTGGTGAAAGCATTTAAGAGTTTACTCGGCTGCGTTTCTATCACTCTCTCTTTCCAAACGCACACACACAGAAATATCAGGAGCCAGAGGAGGCTGATGAATAATGTAGAGTCCTGTCTCTGTGGTGCCATTGCAAACTGCTGAGAATATAAAGGCAGTATTTACAGAGTAATACAAGAGTCAGTGTCTCTTTGTGTGAATGTGTGTTTATTTCAAAGCTCCTTACTAAAGACCATAACTCACATTTTCATTACTATTACATTGTTTGTGTGTGTGTGTCTGTGTGTATTATTGTGAAGCGGTTCAAATGTGTTTTTCTGTGCAAATGAAATCACGTTTAAAGAAATACCACAAAAATATGCATATATACAATTTATCAGTTGGCGTTTCTGTGTGGAGTTTGCATGTTCTCTCCGTGCTGGTGTGGGTTTCCTCCGGGTTCCCCAGTTTCCCCCACAAGTGCAAAAACATGTGGTATAGGTGAATTGGGTAGGCTAAATTGTCTGTAGTGTATGTGTGTGAATGAGTGTTTATGGATGTTTCCCTGTGATGGGTTGCAGCTGGAAGGGTATCCTCTGCATAAAACATGTGGTGTATAAGTGAAAGGGACTGATAAAGGGACTAAGCCGAAAAGAAAATGAATGAATGAATATATACTGTCAGGGTCATTGTCTTATTTTTAATGTTAACAAAACGCATAATAACCTTCTCAAATAAGATTAGGAAAGCAATCTGTTTTATTAATGTTTATTTCTTGTTTCGTCTGTTTATTTGTACATTCATTCGTTTTTTGTGCTTTGTTTTGCTTTTTTGCATTTTGTTTTGCAATTTTTGTTGTTTGATTTACAGTATTATCTTAGATTTAGTATTTTTTGTTTGATTTATTTTAATAAGTTTGTTCCGTTTTATTTATTGAAATAAAACATTATTTGTTTGAAATGTTTGTTTATGATTTACTTTAATAATTGTTTTTATTTATATCGTTAATATTTTTGGTCATGGTCATTATCAGAAATGTTCATATTTATTGTTTTTTATTTATTTTTGTTTAGTTTTCTGTTTTTATTTGCTCGTTTCATTATTTATTTATTTATACTTGTTTTATCTATAAATTTGCATTTAATTTAATTAGTTCAAATTTTTATTTATTTTTTTTAGTTTCAATTAAATGTTTGTGTATTATTTATGTGTTTTTATTTTTTTAACTTGTTTCATCATTTATTTTAGAATTTGTACTTTTAAAAGCTGTGCTTAATTTATTAGTTTTATTATTTATTTATTATACATTTTTATTTTATTTTATTAGTTTAAACTTGTTTGTTTGTTTTTAATTTTTATTATATATGCATTTTATTTATTGTATTTATTTTTTGCTTGTTTCATTATTTTAGATCTTGTACTTTTAAAACAGTTTTTTTAGCTGTGTTTATATTATAATTATTTTTATTTTTTATTTTATTTATATAAGTCAAAGTTTTATTCTTTTATTTTGATTAAATGTTTATTATTTATGTGTATTTATTTATATTTTTTTCGCTTGTTTCATTAATTGTTTTAGGTGTTGTTATTTTAAAAGTGATTTCCATCTTTTTAAAATTTTATTTATATGAAAATTATTATTTATTTTAAGTTAAATTTTTATTTTATTAAACTACTTTTAATTATTTATTTATTCATTGGTTTTTATTAATCTATTATTTATTATATATTCATTTTTATTTATTTCTGCATATATTCATATTTTTTTTGCCAGTAACATTTTCATGCATTGCCAAAAAAAGTAAATAAATAAATAAGCGACTCTTAACCCTGTTTACGCCAGCAAACATCTTTATGACTCTTCTTAAATTCATGCCCTCTGGCCCCTCTTCTTTGTTCCAGTGTTGTTGATGTAAAGTGTGTGTTTGCTGGACGGATGGCCTGAAAGTGTATCCTCTGGGACCTGTTGTTTGGTGTGTTTGGAGAACGTGGTTTGTGTTTACTCCGGCTCTCCTGAGAGCTGCTCCAGGTGGAAGTAATAGCCGGCAGTCTTTAGAGCTGTAAAACGCACTTAAACCCCCAGAGATTCAGTGGCAGACGAAATTCTCACAGCTGAACTACTGTTTTTAAAATCTCTGGAGGAGTCATACAAGGTTTTGGGGAATTTTTATTGGCACATAAAGTTTTGGGGAATTATTAGTATAATTATTAGTATTATTATTACTCTCAATTATTAGTATGATTATGATGTATTATTATTATCATTATTATTATTATTATTATAGATCTTTGTGTGTGGACATGAGCTATTTTTATATATTTAAAAAATGAATTCATTCAGTTCGATTTCATTCTTTTAGTGATTTTTTTTAGTTTTTCTTTAGTTATTTTTCAGTTTTTATAAATGTAATTATGTATTATTCATATTACGTTATTGTTTTTGGTTATTTTTTATTGTTTTATGTGTGTCTGTATTTTACTAGTTAATTCATAAATTTTTGATATTTAATTAATTTACTTCTGTTAAAGTATTTATTGTAGCTTAATTATTTGTTCATCCATTTGTTTTTGTGTTCATTTTTTTTTTTTAAATAATGAATAATTCATTCATTAATTTTTCGTCGGCTGAGTGTCTTATTTATCAGGGGGCGCCACAGTGGGATGATCCACTAATTATTCTGGCATATGTTTAACAGAGCGGATGCCCTTCCAGACACAACCCATGGGAAACAATTTTTTAAATAATTTCATAATAAATTTATAATTTGTAATGTATTTTTTATTGTTATTTTTTACATTTGTCTTCTTAGTTTGGTTTTGTATGATTTTGTATTTATTTATTTTTTTATTTTGAGTTATTTTTAGATATTTTTGATTTATTAATACGTTCATATTCAATTGTGACTTTTTTATATTTAATTTTATTGGATTTACTCATTTTTATCAGTTTTTTTTCTTTTTGTAATGCGTGTGTCTGTTTTGTTATACATTTGTTTATTTATTTTTGTATTTATTCGTTTATTGAATTTTTTGGGGGTATTCGTTATTTAAATGAGTTTTTATTTGATAAATATTTTATTATTATTTAATTATTTAATTTTTGAAAGACTTTGGTTAGCTTTTTATGTCAATTTTTGTTTTTTATTTAATGTTTAGTTTAAAAAAAGGTAAAAAATAATTCTAATATGTTTTTCATCGTCTCCTTTTCAAGATTACACCCGATTTCCCTATACAGCCAGAATGTTAGCTACAACTGCTAGTTACAAAACAACATCATTTACACAACACATTCTTGATCTCTTTTGCTTTTTATTTGTGCATATTAGTAATTTTTTATTAACTTTTAGGTTAAAATAAGTTTTTATCATCGTTGTCTTTTTTTTAAGATTATATCTTATTTCTCTATGCAGCTAGAATTTTAGCACTGAAAAAAATATTCATTGGATTCACTAAATTTAAAATTTATGTAAGTGATGTGCAAACTATTTATTTGGGCTGAATTTAAACAAACAAATTAAGTTGAACATTACTAAATTTAATTTGTTTGTTTAAATTCAGCTCATATTAATTGTTTGCAACCAATTACCTTCAATTTTTTAGTAAATCCAATGAAAAGTAAAATTTAGTAAATCCAATGGGTCATTTTTTTCAGTGCAGTCCATTACAAAACAACATCATCGACACATTCTTCATCTTTTATTTGCTTGTTTGATGTGCAGCATCTCCAGATGACCATCCAGGCCCTCCAGGACGAGCTGCGGATCCAGCGGGACCTGAACCAGCTCTTCCAGCAAGACCCCAGCTCTCGTCCTGGCGAGCCACTGACTGCCGAACTGACCGAGGAGAACTTCCAGCGTCTGCATGGCGAGCACGAGCGTCAGGCCAAAGAGCTGTTTCTACTGAGGAAGACTCTGGAGGAGATGGAGCTGCGCATCGACACCCAGAAACAGACGCTCAACGCTCGGGACGAGTCCATCAAGAAGCTGCTGGAGATGCTGCAGAGTAAAGGACTCTCGGCCAAGGCCAGCGAGGAGGACCACGAGCGCACCCGGAGACTGGCCGATGCTGAAATGCACATCCACCATCTGGAGAGTTTGCTGGATCAGAGGGACAAAGAGATGGGGCTGCTGAGAGAGGTAAGAGGAAACCAGCACACAACGCTTAGCCAACCTTTAATCTAGTGCACTGAAACTGTATAATATTTAATATTTAATAGATATAATATTTTGTTCAGAACTTACATCTCAAAGTTGACATATTTTTTCCCAATTCGAATAGTGAGCTTTTATTTTTACAATTTTTTAATTTCCTTTGTTGTTTTCTTCTCATAATTGCAAAAAAGCAAGTTGTCCTCGTCCCCCTCTCCTTTATTTTTGTCAGAAATCTTCCATAAAGATGTCACCTTCTTCCCTAACAGTGTTTAAGTGACTATCAAGTATTGAATAACCAAACAGCTGCTCCGGGAAAGATGCTGACAGCGCTTGGTCATTTATCCACAGTTGATGAGTCGCGGTAAAATGTTTTGGCCAGGACTCTCAATTACGCCGCTGATGAATCAAGGGCTCTAGATTAGTCATTTTAAACAGCGGCGGACGAGCGAAGCTTATCGAGACTCGGAGGGAAGGAAACCTGCTGTAAACTGAAGCCGGTTGAACATTTGTTGCTATAGAAACCAGAGAGACTGAAAGGATCATTGATGAAAGGAGACACAGATGTTGCCGAGTGCAAAAACTGCTAATGTGGCACACGAAACATTCAGCACATTTACTTTAGTAGTTATATCTCGGATTGAAGTTTATTGGAGTTTCTCAGGCAGAGATTTCGATTAGTATTAATGCTGAAAGTGAAAATAAAATAGCTGGGGAAGAAACTTCTTAAAGTAAAAGCAAGCAAAGAAAGTCTTGTCATTTAGTATATTGTTATTATTATGATGCTGCATGGCATAATTTATAAGAAGGGTATGAGGATCAAAACAATGCAATCCACAAATATTTGTAATTTATTTTATTTTATTTATTAGAACTTTTTTGTGAAGAGTTGAGCTGGCCTCATGGCATAATTTATTAGAAGGATATAAAGAATAAAACAATGCAAAACACAAACATTTAAATTTTTTATTTTGTTTTATTTGATTTATTTTAGTCTGTTTGGTTTTCTTTGTAAAAATCTGAATTCCCTAAGGGCGTTATTTATTTGCATGGTATGAGATTGAAAACAATGCAAATTACAAATGTTTTGTATTTATTTATTTATTTATTTATTTTTAATGTTGTGATTTTTGTTTGTTTGTTTTTGTATAAATCCTAACTCTTCTCATGGCATTTTAATTTAATTTAATTTAATTTAATTTAATTTAATTTTATTTTATTTTATTTTATTTTATTTTATTTTATTTTATTTTATTTTATTTTATTTTATTTTATTTTATTTTATTTTATTTTATTTTATTTTATTTTATTTTATTTTATTTTATTTTATTTTAACTTCTGTCAGGCATCTTCTGAGACAGCCAATGAGCAAATGCAGAAGTTTGGCGACAGTGGCATCTAGTGGCCACCTAGTTTGTCGCATTTTCTGAATTACTTTTGAGAAACTTGCAGAAAAGGCTTTGAGCTGAGAGTTTTACTCCCTTTTTGGAACCTGAAATCATTATCAAACAAGGAACGGTTAATAATGTGTAGCCACTAATATGATGAAATTCTTACTGTAATGTAACCTAATACAATGTAAAACGAACAAGCAAAATAAATAAAAGAACGAATAAATAAATGAGCAATTAAAAAAGGAACAAATGAACTAGTAAATAAAATAAATAAATAAATAAATAAATGAAATAAATAAATGAATTAGTAAATAATAAAAAATACACAAATAAATGAACAACTACATAAATAAACAAACAAAAAAATAAATAAATGAGCAAATAAATAAATGAACAAATAAAAAATGAATGAATATATAAATAAATAAATGAACAAATAAAAAATGAATGAATATATAAATAAATAAATTAACGAATAAAAAATGAATAAATAAATAAATGAATGAAAACATAAATAATTAATAAATAAATAAACAAATAAATAAACAAATAAATAAATACATAGATGAATAAGTAAGTAAGTATGTAAGTAAGTAAATAAATAAATAAATAAATAAATAAATAAATAAATAAATAAATAAATAGTTCAACTTTAGGGCCAATTTGATTAACAAACAGAAAAAAATATGCATTTCAAATTGTTTCTGTTGTAATTGTAATTATTGTGCATTATTTTTAGAATCTGCCTTTAAAATATTTGTTACAATTTGTGGATTTTATTTTCAGGAGTTTTAATAAAACAGCATTTGTTTGAAATAAAATCATCTTGAGCAGGTGTTTACCATGTTCTGATCTTTGGGTTTAGCTCTGCGAAAGGCAGCGGTGAATGATTAAAATAATGATTTGGACAGAGATCAGTAGAACATTTCAGGTCTTTCATTGAAGCCTCCAGTTGGACATCAAAGAACAGGCAGAAGTTAACGAACAGCCTTCATTTTTTTAATCTTGTGATATGAAATTCCTCCTTTACCAAAGACTTACTGCAAATGTCTGTGAATTACCGATAATGAGGCAAAGTCTTGGAAACCCTTTTAAAATCCATTTTAAAACAGTTTTAATGTCATTTAAATTTAATGGGCTGCATGAAAAATTCAGAAACCTTAGTATTTAGTTGAATTAAATGAAATAAACTGCAAGAAATTAACTTTATTCTTTTTTTTCTTTTTTTTCTTAGAAGCACTATGAAGTTAGAAAAACTTTAACAGTAATAAACTGATTACAATTATGAAGATACTGTCATACTGTTTTCCCCATGTGGGTTCATCATATCTGAAGGATGAGGCTTCATGTTTTGTGTCTGAATGCTGATTTTAAGGTCTTCAATTGCTGGAGGCTGCCTTCTTTGTGTTAGTGGACATTGCATTCACTCTGTTTGTCCGCTGCTCAGTGCATTATCTTGTTCATAAGGGACTCATCCACGCATAAACATTCAAGCCAGCAGACTGAAACTCTCTCGGACTGCCATCAGTGTGCTGAATTAGTCATTCGGTGCTGGAGATTCATCAGTCAGTGGTCATTTATTATCAGCGGGGTATTATAATGTGGAATGGACTGGATCCTCATCAGCTGACGTTTGGCGGTAGAGGTGGACGTTTCTCTCCTGTGGTTTCACCTCATGATCCTCGTCTCGTGTTTTCTCCACAGGATCTCCACCGGCGTTATGAGGGAGCTCCAGAATCGGCCAAAACCAAGGCTCTGCAGACTGTCATCGAGATGAAGGCAAGTGTGTGTGCGAGTTTGCTTTGTGTGTGTGGTGAGGAAATCACAAACTTTAGTATTCTTTATAATAATAAAATGATAATGGGGTTGTTGTTTTAATACTGTGCATGATGACAATATTGAGTGTGTCCAGGGCTTGACATGAACTTTTTTTGATCACCAGCCACTGTGGCTAGTAATTTTTCAACATTTACTAGCCACGCACAATTTTTAAATGGATATTATTTATGCATAAATTCAACTTTGGCATGCTAAAATGACTTAATTTAGGTTTTGTATTACACTGTAAAAAATGCAGGGTTCCACACACTTCATTCATGTTTTCCCAACACAAATTGATTTGGTTAACTTAACACTTTAAACAAATGTATGTGGATTGAAAAAAAAAAAAAAAAAAGTTGTCCCAATGATATCTCAAGAATTTAGTTGTTTCAGCTCATTTTAAATAACTCGTTTGAGCGAGCAAAATAATATGTGAAGTTTATGTATAAACTAATTATGAGAGGATCAGATCACGTGCTTATGATTGCTAGCGGCTGGATCCGCATTATCCAATTCACAATGCTCCAATCAGACGTCTCCTAAACTACTATAAATACCCTGGGTTTCATTCCACTGTTATCTTCGTTTTGAAGAGTCCCCCCTTCCACCCATACTCCTCCTCCTCCTTCCTAGATGGGTGACACGGTGGCCCAGTGCGTAGCACTGTTGCCTCACAGCAAGAATGTTTCTGGTTCCAGGCTATACCAAACCAGCAGACATTTCTGTGTGGAAATTGCACTTTCTCCCTGTGCTCACGTTGGTTTCCCCCGGGTTCCCCGGTTTCCTCCCACCATCCAAAAATGGCAAATTAAGTTAATTGACTAGTCCAAATCGGCACCATAGACATGCTTCTAGTATGTAGTTATCTCCAAAGAGCAATCACTTACTGTTCATTAGTTACTACAGCAGGGGAGTTCTCGAGATCTACCTGAGCTCAAACTCCCCTCATGCCTTGCAACGAGAGGGAGCCCCGGACTTGAGGATCTCATGAGCTCAGGGCTCTTTCCTGGGACAGCATGCCAAACAAGCTT